CTCCTGCTTGGAAAGCTCTGTCTCCTCCAAACTTTCTGACCTGCTGGCCCCAAAGTCTGAATTTCCAGCACCTAGCAAGGGACCAGAACCAAGCACATAGCAGCACTTAATTTTTCATTGTTGTTGCCCAATGCCTGATGCCCCATGGCGTTCCAAATGGGCCGGCTTCTCTTATCCGCCTCCTCCCACCTCCCCCTCAGCCACCCACATCCCTCGCCTGGATGGTTGCAATAGCCCCCAGCATCTGCACTGGGGGCCCCAGGTCACCATCCATTCAGGGAGATCCTTTCCAAAAGCAAACCTGGCTAGATCACCCCTGCTTACAAGGAGGGACCAGAAAGCTATCAGACTGGAGGAGACTAGGAGACATGGTGTCTCCATGCAGTGTGGGTCCTGGATGGGAGCGCAGGACCACAGAGGGACATTAGTGGGGAAAACGGATGAACCCAAATAAAGTCTATAGTTTAGACAGTGGTGCTATACCAATGTTAATTTCTTAATTTTGATAGCCGTACTTTGGTTTTGTAAAATGTCAACATTAGGCGAACCAGGCAAAGGGTTGTAATGGAAACTCTCTGGACTCTTTGCAACTCTGCTATAAATCTAAAATTATTTCAAAATAAAAGATGGCAAAAACATCAGGGGCTCCCAACTGCATTTGGAAGAAAATCCAGGGACTTCACATGGCTGGCGAGGCTCTGGCCACCCCCACCAGACTCCCTGCTCCATTTGGGAAGGGGCCCCACCTTCTAGTTTTCCACTGTGTCTCCCCGGCTAAGGAAAGTGCTGAGCACACAGGAAGGGCTCAATCATACTGTGCTGCCCACCTCCAGCTCTGAGCTCTGCCTCACCCTTTGAGCACGGGTGCTGGCTGAGATGGCGTTCGCCACCACTCCCGGTGCCTCACAGTAGGGTCAGTGCCCCCAGCCCAGGCTTCTTCCTTGCCGGCCCACCTCGAGCATCCCTTTCGGCCTGGCCCCCCCAGGATCTGACCTCTCTCCCACAGCCCCCTAAACGCGCACACAGGGCAGGCTCTACATAAGTCCTAGGGCACCGTGTCCTGTCCCTCGGCCGGCGGGGCTCTGTGCAGCCTGCCCCTTGGAGTGTGCTTTGCAAACTAGGGAGGTGCCCAGAGCGGGATGTCAAGGGGTTCCTAATGTCTCATCCTGGAGTTGGTTAACTCCTCCGGGGCCTTGGCTCCCTGTCTGCAGTGTGGGAGCCTGCCACCAAGTGGACAGTAGTGACTGCCTTTGATCAAGAAGGGCACAGAGTGAGGGTTCCCCCCACTCCACTGCCCTGTGTGAGAAGCAAGAAAGCAGGTATTTAGTACAAAATCCCACCTGCCTATTAGGCCACTCTCACTCCGGGGAGGCATTTGGCTCCCTGCGTCTTCTGTGATATTACTTCTTCCCATGCACCCTCTCCCCAGGGCCTGAGAGGGCAAGGCAGTGGGGATGGGGCAGTGATAAGATCTGATTCATGTTTTTGTTTGTTTTTTTGGGGGGGAGCACATGTGCCTGCGAGCAGGGGAAGGGGCAGAGGGAGAGAGAATCTCAAACAGGCTCCACCCCAATGCAGGGCTCGATCTCACGACCCTGAGACCATGACCTGCGCTGAAATCAAAAAGTCAAATGCAGGGCGCCTGGGTGGCTCAGTTGGTTTAAGCGACTGCCTTCGGCTCGGGTCATGATCCTGGAGTCCTGGGATCGAGTCCCACATCGGGCTCCCTGCTCAGCAGGGAGTCTGCTTCTCCCTCTGACCCTCTTCCCTCTCATGCTCTCTATCTCTCATTCTCTCTCTCAAATAAATATATAAAAAAAAATCTTAAAAAAAAAAAGTCAAATGCATAACCGACTGAGTCACCTGGGTGCCCCTTGTGTTTTGAAAGGCGGCTCCAGCTGCTGTGGGGAACGGACTGAGAGGGCCAGACAGAATCCGGAGGCTTGAAGGGGACTCTGGCGACAATCCCAGTGAGGGGCAGCAGTGGTTTGGCCAGGGAGTACTTGTACAGATGGCAAGAAGGGGACAGATTTGAGGTGTGTTTTGCAGGTGGCCCTAACCACAACTGCTGACTGAATACAATGGTGAAGAAACAGAGAAATCGGGAAAACACAAGATTGGGGGCCTGAGCCGTCAGAATGGTGGTGACATGGAACAGACTGCAGGAAAAACAGGCTTGGAGGGAGGGTCAGGGTGTGAGCAGCCCCCTACATCAGCCTCCTCTCTCCCCCCGACTCCCGTGCTCCACATGCTCCCATCACCCCCACCCGGCTCACATGCCAGTGAGGTGCTAACCAGGGTCGTGGACATCTGGGGGCGTGGCCTGCCCAGCGGCCTTTTCCCTTTCTCTGCAAACAATGCCCCTGATTTCCTGTGAGCAATCTCCTCCCCCACTCTCACGCACAGGCACCTGACCCCATCCCTGATCACCAGGTTGGGCATGTGACCCACGTTGGGTCCCAGGGGAAACCCTATGGACAAGATTGTACCCTCTTTCTTGGGAGCTGATATGCAGGTGGGATAGAGCCTGGGCCTGCTGCTGCTCATCATGCCACGACTGAGGGACGGTCAGGCTGAGAACAAAGCCAGTGCAGAAGAAAACACAGTAGAAACCAGATTTCTGATACTGTTTGAACATCTGGATCCAGCCATACCTGAAGTCACAGCCACCTAAACTTTTTACTTATGTGAGTCATTTCATTTACATTCAGTCGGTTTCTGTCAATTGCAACCTAATCCTAACCAACCAGCTGTGAGATGATGTATTTAAATTAGGTCGCATGGCACACCGTGGCCGCTCCATAATTATATGGGAACTGTACTGTTATCACTCAGGCCACCAAAGTAAGATGTGCTGGGGGACCCAGATGGCTAGTGAGATCTGGCCAGGCCCCGGGCCATCATGTGGTCACAGCGACCAAGCTGGCCTAGCAGGACTCACCTTCCTTTCTCTGGCCTGCGGTATCCCCTCCCACAGGGGACCGGGTGAGGAGAGATGGAGCCCTTCGGGCACTGTCAGCTCTTGGCCCTTCCTGGGGCTTCCTCGGGATCATCACGGTGAGCTCGTCCCCACCGGAGGCCTCCTCCGGCCTTTCAACAGTGTCCCAGTCCTGCCAGGGAAGGGAGGAGAAAGCATGGAGCCTCTAGGGCCCGTGCTCCCAGCATGAGCTAGGTAGACAAAGGGAAAGGCCCTGACATTGAATAGCACCTGCTGTATACTCAGCACTGCACCGGGCCCTTTGCAGACGTTAACTTAGCTAATCTTCAACCAACCCTTGAGGCAGGCATGTACGTCAGAGCTAAAAACTTGCCCTAAGTCACGCAGCTGGGAAATGGTTTAGGTGGGAGGGGACTTGAACCCAGCGCATTTGGACTCCCTGTGGTCGAAAGGCCCTGGCATGGCAGCCCCCAGTCGGCAGAGACACCCCCAGGGTCCAGAGAGAAGTGGGTTCAAAGCCTTGCCCCTCCACTTCCCAGATACATGGCCTCAAGTAAATTGTTTCCCTTCTCTGAGCCTCAGTTTTCTTGCCCTAGAATGGGGCCATAAAAGTCTCTCCCTCAGAGGGGGTGGTGAGCCTTCTTGAGCCCACACCTGCCATCCCATCACTTTCCCTCAGAGGTCTCACAGATAACCTGCCTCTCCTGCCCTGTGACAGCCCTTTGAGGGGTGAATACCCCAGGAAGTACCCGCGTCTTCTCTTCTCCCAGCCAAATGGCCCCCAGCCCTTGCCTGGGCTCCCCAGCCTGCTCCCTCTCCTCTGTCCTTCAGAGATCTATGCCAGGGCTGGTCATGGAGCTCAGAGGTGTGTGACCAGGACAGGGCCCAGAACCAGTCCCATCCTTGCTCCAGAGAGCATGCCCAGCATCCCGGTCCTCCGTGACCTGAGAGTATTTGGCAGCCTGACCCCATTGGTGATTCACCTGGAACTTCCTGTCAATTGAAACTCCTTCTGTCTTTTCACGGAAGAGACGCCTGCCCCTCCCAGGCGGTTGGTCCGGGCGGCCCAAGGTGCTGGCTAAGTCTCCAGAGGGCCCTGGCCCAGTTCCCTGGTGTAAGAGGCTCAACCCTTGTCTGGAGGTTTGGGGGCTACCCCAGGGCTGGCACAGAGGGGCGATGTTGCCCCAGCCTTCCCTCCCCAGCTCACCACGGAGGACGAGTCGCTGGTATCATCAGGGGTGTCGCAGTCAGGGCTGGAGCTGGTGCCAGACTCAGGGCCTTCGTCGAAGCTGCCTCCGAGGGAGGAGGCCAGACCCCCCAGATAGGGCACTGTCTCCGGCTCCTGGCTCCTGTGTCCAGGGGCGGCTGTGGGGGCCTCTGCGGGGGCCTCTGCGGAGGACCCTGCTGACTGGCCCCTGGGAGAAGAAACAGACCTATGACTTCTTCCCCCAAAAGTCATGGGAACTAGGGAGTAGTAGTACCCCACCCAGGTACACACACACCTCACACTAGAGCAAAGGAGGGAGTGAACACCCAGGCCTCCCTGTGCTGGGTTCTTCACATGGACTGCCTCATTCAGCTACAACAGTCTCCCTTTGAAATGTGTGTCATGATTCCCATTTTACAGATGAAGACACTGAGGCTCAGAGAGCTCAAGGGACTGGTGAAGGTCACAGAGCCAGGAAGGGGGACAGCTGCATTATGAACCATGCCTGTGACCCCAGCACCAATCCTGTCACTGGAGCAGGAGTGGGACCCTCAAGCTCAGTAAAACTGACATGACAGGTGTACTGGGCTGAAGGGGGGGCCTCAAGAGGTAGCAGGGCTCCAGGGATAGTGACAGGGTCACCAGTCTGGATGCCGAGGGAGGAAGTAGCAGAGAAAGCCCTGCTTTAGACAAGCCAGTCCAGATAGCCAGAGGCCCAAATAGGCTTATAGATGGCAGTGTCCCCAAAGAGTGACCCACAGATGGACCTACAAGATGGAAAGGGATGATGGCCCTGAAAAAGGTCTGTGGTCACATGAGTTTAGGACATACCACATACTTCTACCACCCTACCCAAAAGCACAAGGCCTGCTAGCAAACTGAATTTTCTGACAAGTCTTGCAAGACAGATATTCAAATCTGTTTACCCTGGACTTTCTGAAACATACTTGATGGCAGGGCTGGTTTTGGTTTTTAATAAGTACTACCTATCTGTGAGGCATACATGTTCCCAAAGCAAAGCTGATTTGATTCAATTCCTCTTATTTTTTAAACAGGGAAACTGAGGCATAAAGGAGGGAATGACTTGTTTCCTTAGCCCATCGGGGATGGAACAGAGGCTGGAACCCAGGTTTCTGGGCCCTCGGCCATGCCCTCCCAAGGCACCATGGCCTCAAAGAGGGACTTCAGTTCAGCTCAGGCCTGGGGGTGGAGGGAATCCCAGAGCCTGGAACAGCACATGGTCAGGTAGGTGGGTGGTCACAGGTACCTACCCGTTTAATCTTTTAAAGCTGTGCCAAGGGAACCAGGAAACGTGAGCAGGCTGGGGGCCATGCCCCCTGCAGGGTGGGTGCATGGCTGCTCCTCACCCTGGAGCAAACTGAGCTAGGGCCCAAGGAACATGCCCACTGCTGGCCTATGCCCAGGCCGTGTGACCTGCCCATGTGACCCATGCCCACAGCCAGCACAGACAGATCCTGCCATCGTGAAGGGGTGTAGGGTGGGGTGGGTGAGGGCATCCTCCCCTAGGGAGCCCCTCCCCAAGCCCTGGGGCTCTACCCACCTCTCAGGCCCTGGCCCAAGGCCCGGGCCCACCACAGACTGGCAGCCGGAGGCCGAGGAATGGGGAGGGTCCTCAGAGGCAGGCAGGCGGCGTGGCAGGTCGCAGTAAGGCACCCCAGCACTTGGAGGGCTCGCCGGCTCCTGGGGCAGAGTTGGAAAGAGGAAGCAGCTCCTGGCCCACGTGGGGGTTCCCCTCCCCCTGCGGAGCCCCTCCCCCCACCAGGCAGTGTAGCTGAGTGTCCAGGCATCTCCTCCTGGGATCTCAGGCTTCTCAAGGAGAGCTGTCCATCAGGCGGGCAGCGTCTCTGGGGACCCAAGCCGGGGGCTGGCGGAGGTACAGGGTGTGTGCAAGCACACGTGTATGTACAGGTATGTGTGTGTATAAAGGCCTGTGTGTGCAAGTGTGCCCCGGCGCGTCGGGGAGGGGGACACTAATGCATATGTTTGCATCAGTGCATGTGAGTTTAGCTCTACATGTGTGTCGGTGCATGTGCATGTGTGTGCTGGAGGCTGTGAAGGAAACAAAAGGGCCCAAACGGGTCATCTGTAGCTGGAGAACAAGGTCCAGAGCGGAAGGTGAGGAGGAGGGACCAAGCCCACCTGGAGAGTGAAGGAAATGGTCTGCGGGAGAAAGAGGAAGTCTGAGGGGACAGAAAGCGAGACCTGGGTGGAAGGAGCAAGGGGAGATTTGCCCTGCTGCAGGGGGGTTGCAGGGGGCTCAGGGGCAGGAGGGTCCAGGCCCCGGGGTGGGGGTGGGGCCCTGAGCCGGCAGGCTTCTCTCCCCCGCCCGCCTGGCCAGGCCACACCTGCGAAGGCTGGAGCCGGGCTCACCCGGGGGGAACGGCGGTGACTCACCTCCAGGAAGGCCCCCCCATTCCTCCCCTCCTCGCCGGGGCGGCGGGCCCTCCCTGGCGGTGGGAGACGGCGGCCGAGGCACCCTGCACCCCGCCTCCTCTCAGGTTACCTGGCCGGCGGGCTCTGGCGGTGGCGGCTGTGGGCTGTCAGCACCCTCGTCCCCGGGGGGCTCCGGCTCAGGCCCCCACGCTGCCGCCCTCCCAGGCCGCGACTCTGGGCCGAGGCGGCCGCGGCCGAGGCGGCGGAAACCTTAGAGGGGCCGGCTGCGAGCAGGGGCCCCTCATTACTCTTTCATAAGCCGGGACCCAGCCAAGAACAATGCGGGACATGAAACCGCAGGAACCTGATCCCCGCCGCCGTTCACCTGAGAGCCCGGCAGGGAGGGGGGAGGCTGGGCGCGGGCTCCCCGGGGACCCCGGAGCTCAGCGCCCAGGGCTGAGGCCACATCCTGGCCACACTGCAGGGTGGGCACCGGCGTGCAAGAAAGCCAGGGAGAGCGGGCCCTGGGCAGTGCCAAGAAGCGGGGCCAGGGTGTGCGCAGGGCCATCCAAGCCAGAGGAGGCCCATGTGGGTTCAGTTTCGCCCCCTGCCCTGGAGCCAGATTCTGATCAGAACTCGACAGCGGGAGGTGTCAGATCCACAGCCCAGCCTGGCGCCTTGGCCGCCCTGGGAACCTTGCCACAGGAATGAGGAGGGAGCAGTGGGTTGGGTACCACCAAGGGGTCCAGCCCAGCTGGGCCCGAGCAGGACCCCCAGCCTGTCATGGCACCTCCTCCCTGCTTTCACCCCAAGACCCCATCACTGCCCACTGCCCGCCTGAGCAGGCCCCGAAGCCAGTCCCTGACTCTGATTTCCCGTCTGGTGGGTCAGCACGGGCTCTGGCCTCAGACAGACATCAGGCCCAATCCTGGCACCTCCACTTCCTAGCTGGGTGACCTCAGCCCAGTGGTTTCCCTCTCTGAGCCTGGTTTTCTCATCTACAAAACTGGGATGATAAGAACATGCACCTCCTAGGGATGTTAGGACAATTAAATGGGTCAATATTTGTAAAGGGCTTAGAACAGTATATAATAAATAATGTAAAAACATTAAGTAGAATTTTATTAGTGTTAAATCAATAGAATGTTAAATACATTTAAGAATAAATACATTGAAAGGGCACCTGGGTGGTGCATTCCGCTGAGCGTCCAACTTTTGGTTTCAGCTCAGGTCATGATCTCAGGGTCCTGCGATCGAACCCCCAAAAGAACCCCACGACAAGCCCTGCATCAGGCTCCCTGCTCAGCGGGGAGTCTGCTTGGGATTCTCTCTCTCCCTCTGCCCCTCCCCCAGCTCGTGCTCTCTCTCGCTCTCTCTCTCTCTCTCAAATTAATAAATAAATCTTTAAAAAAAATTTTTTTTTCAAATTAATAAATAAATCTTAAAAAAAAAGAATAAATACATTGAAAAGGGATGTGTGGTGCCTGGCAGACAGCAGGACCCTCCCGCGTAGCCCGTCCTCCCCCTGCAGATCCTGGCTGTGACCTGATTTCCAGAGATAACCACCTGCCCCCCTGGCCTGTGGGAGGCTCAGCTAAGAAAAGAGCAGGGATGCATCCAGCACCCAGGCTCCTAGGGGAGCTAGAGTAAGCCTCAGAGAGAGGGTTGCCCTGGGACCTGGGGCCACATCTGTACATTCCTGGGAAGCATAATGCCTGGCACATTTTAGGCACCTGTTCCTTAAGTGTGAACACATGAGCTGGCCTAAGGTCTCAGCCTAGACGTGGCTAGACTGACACTAGAACTCAGACCTGTCTGAATCCAAGTTTCTCCTCCTGTTCCACACTTGCCATCTCCCCACCCACTGCAGCTGAAGGCCATGGGCATCAGAGACAGACTCGCAGGGTTTTCAGGTGTGTTTCCCGAACTTGGGGCTGAGGGTAGAGAGTTATTCTTGGAGGTATTAGGACAGGTAGAAAATTTTCTCCCAGGTTTATTTTTTGGCTTGGGAAGGAGGAAGAGAGGAAACTAACATGTATTGAATTAGCCACATGTCCTTGGACTAAACAGTGCCAGATGCCCTGAGTGAGAGGCCCTGTTGTCCCACTTCCCCCATTAGGAGAGTGAAGCCAGAGAGGGTAAGACCCCAGGTCACATGGCTGGTAAACGGCAAACCTAGGATTGGGACTCTGGCTTGCCTGGCTCTGAAACTGAACAGTAACTCCCTTAGGAAGGCCACCTCGCAGAGCCTAACGTCCCGCATGGAGCTGGCTGCCAGGCTCAGGAGGAGCCTCAGGACCCTCTGGGAATGACAGAGCCATGGGGGATGGGGCGGGGGAGGGTCAAGGCTGGAGGGGTCCATGGAGATTCACAGTCCCATGCTTCTCGTAGCTTCTGTACCAGGAGCTCTGGGTTTACACAGAGCAGGGCTTGGCATAAGACCACAAGGATGGCAAAATGAGAAAACACCTCTCCTTTCTCTCCTTCAATACCTCGAGGGAGAGTTTCCAGTAGGTGTTAGTATGCCTTTAATGCCTCCCTAACACCTGCCAATCTCTCTTTTTAAGGAGAGACAGCAAGACTCAGGCTCAGAGCCTTCAGCTGACAGTACTCTCTAGTGAGAATTTAATGACATTTCTGATTTTCTTCCTTTTCTTTCTTCCCTTTTAACCTTCTATATAAAGGATATGATCCTAGTTTCCCATTTGTGGTGATGCTACAAAGTTTTGTTTTAGTATAAATTTTAAAAAGGGTGTTTATTTAAAGCATAACAAAATAAGTACTAAATAACATGAGGCCATGGCAAAAAAATCATAAAAGCAGGAGAATGACTTGCATTTGGGAAACATAACGTGGTCCCACCAGCTCATTGTACAGATGGCAGAACCTCTGTTCTGCCCAGGAGGAAGGCCAGTGTCTGGGTTTGGCCACAAGTTAGTGGCCCACCAGGCGCAGCCCATCCTGAACCCCCCATCCCAAACCACCACAATCCCTCAGGGAAGCTGGCCTACCTGGTGCCTTGGACTGTGGGCCTCCTCAGGGTAGAAGCAATTTTGACAGCAGCTCTGGGCAAGCACGTTGGCCTCAAAGTATTCGCACGGGGCATTCCCAGCCACCTCCTCCATATTGGTTGAGTCAGGCCAAAGTAGCTCCTGCGATCCTATGGTGGGGCCTGGGAAGAATGGCGGGGGGGGCAAGGACCAGGTAACTGGCGGGCAGCCCACCAGAACCCAGCCTTAGCTACCCCCAGACATATAAGGACGAAGGAAATAGGTTGTCCATCCATTCATTCAGCTGTTCGTTTATTCACTCGGTAAACACTCTTTAAGCACCTACTAAGCACCAGGCACTCTGCCAAGCATTTGACATGTGATTTCTAGTCATCACTGCAGTGTTGCTCAAAGTGTGTTCCAAGGACGCTGCATTAGACTCAGCTGAGCCTCTCATAAAACGCTTGTTCCTAGAGCACCTGGCAGGCTCAGTCGGTGGAGCATGCGACTCTTGATCTTGGGGTTGTGAGTCTGAGCCCCACGTTGGGCCAAGAGATTACTTTAAAAAACAAAAACAAAAACATATTCCCAGTTCCCTCCCCATATCCACCCAGTGAGAATCTCTTGGAGGTGAGGCCTGGGGTTGCTCATTTTCAACAAATTTCCCGGGTGAGGCAATGCACCCCAAAGTTTGAGTACCCTGGCCTCACAGTTACCCCACATTGTAGATAAAGCAATGTCAATTTCAGACAAGGCAACTAAGGCTCACCTAGGATCCACACCTTGCTCTAAGTCCCAGGGGCTGAACTGAATTCCAGCCCAGGTCTGTGTCCCTCCCCACCCTCTTGGAGGTGGAAGTGAGGGGCACTGGATCACACTGCCAATTCACACAGGTTCCTTGGGCAACGCTGGGAGTGAAGCAAAAGCCAGCAGGTATTTTCAGAGCTGAGGACAATGTCACACAGCAAGGATGCAGTACAGTTTAGCCAAAAAGAAGCCCCGGCGCTCTGACTTGAGCACAGGGCCCTCCCATCTGGGTGAGGCCACTGAGGGCTCTGGCGCCATGTCCTGGGACAGGAGAGAGAGGGCAGACCCCAACAAAAGAGTGACTTGAAGATGCCTTCCTCGCTCACAGAGAGCCCCAGGAGGAGAGTGGCGCAGAAGATGAACCCATATCCCCAAACCCCATGCACCTTGCGGTGCCCCCAGGTCACCTGCCCATACACCGGTCCTCACCTGGTGAGTTTCCTCCAAAGCATACCAGGACATAAGGCCTTTGTAGCCCAATCTCAGCTGAGACCTGGGGAATTTCACATCCTCCCCTGGGGCAGCCAGGGCGAAGGTTCCTGGCTTCTCCACCATCAGACCTGGGGAGGTGGCAGGAGCCGGCGTGTTGTGTGAGGAGGGTACCCACTGGCCCCTCAGCCTCCCTGGGCTGTCATCTCCCCGCGGCGTCCCCTGCCCCAGTGGAGGGGGCGCGCACTGGTCCCGCCCAGCTTGGGCGGTTCTTTCCTGGTCTGACCACATAAAGGAGCATCGCCTGAGACAAGACAAGGCGGCTCATTTCCCTGGGGGCGGCTGGGGGCTCTATTCCACGTGCCCCTCACTGCTCCCGCTTCCTCCTCTTTCTTAATCCCCAACCAATTGGCAGAATCCCGTAAAATGCACATTAGGTGTGGCTGTAACAATGAAAAACCTTCGGCGGACACTCATGCCCCACCCGGAGAATGGACTCCTGGACCTCTCCGGCGGGTCAGCCAGTCCCTCTCCGTATGCCTCGCCCCTCTCCCTTACCCCAGTAGCGTCCTCTCCCCGCCCCCGTCCCCCCTTTCCGCTGCGCAGTGCTACTGACCTCGGCTCGGGTTTCCACGCACAGGGAGTGCCGGGGTGGGATGCCGGGGTCACAGCTTCTATTTTAACAATAAATCAGAATGTTGCCCGGGAGGTGGACGAAGACCACTCCCCTGCCGCTCTTGCATAGGCTCGCTCTAGGCGCTTCATTTACATAAAGGCTGTGGGATTGGACAACCCGAGGGCAAGGGGCGGGGCGGAGGCGGGCGGTGCCCCGATGCCTCTGAGCGCGGGACCCGCCGCACGTTTAGCCTGAGCTGCATCTGGGTCTGGGTTTCCAGGAGGCCCTTCAGAGAGCTAGCACTGACGGGCCTGGCTCCCTCTGATCTCTTTCCCGCCGGTGCATTCTCGCTGCACTTCCCTGGACTGGCCTTACTCCAGATGTTGGGCTAGAGACTTAAATTCTCTGTGCCTCAGTTTTCTCATCCGTAAAATGGGAAGAGTAGTAGTACCTGTGGGGATCAAATGAAATGCCCGGGGTTTTCAGCCTCCATTTGCTTGCTTCCACTGATGCAGAACTCACTCACAAAATGCACAGCTCTCCTTTTTTTTCTTTTTTTACCCTGCCCCCTTTTTAAGCTAACATTTATTCTGCACTAGGTACCAGCTCCAATTCCAAAATCTTTACATTCATTAGGATACAGTAACCCAAAGGGTTAAGTACCAAGATCCTCATTTCACAGCGACTAAGGACAATTAACTTGCCAGAGTCTCACAGCTAGTAGGAGGCAGAGCCAAGACTAAAACCCCGTTGTGTCTGACTCTACTAGCACCACAGAGCATCTTCATTTACTAATTCGCTCATTCACATGTATCTCTGCTGGGCACTGGGGAGATGGTAACATGAATAAATTGTGCCTCCTTCTGAGATGAGAAGCCCACTGACCAGTGGAAGAGATAGCCCGTAAACAGGTCATCCTGGCCCAGGCTGGAATGGGTGAAGACCCAGTTTAGTAACAAGAATAATGAGCTTTCAGTCTGATCCCACTTACTGTGAGCAAAACAGGAAGTAGTGAGACAGAGGTCCGGTATCTGGCTCCAGCACCTCTTGGCTGCATGATCTTGAGAAAGTTACTTGACCTCTCTGAGCCTGGTGTGGATTAGACATTTGGTTTGAGTTTGAGGGTCAGGACATGGCTGGGGCCCTTTAGCCCCATCCCCCCACCCTCTCACCCCCACCAATCAGTAAAACCTGTAGCTAACTCAGGGTGGTGTTCCTGACAATTCAGTTCATTAAATACTTATGGAGCCCCTATTTAGTTGGGTGTGCTGAGGATACTTAGCTAAAAAAAGATTAAATCTCCTGATTCCTTGGTGTTTACATTCTAGCGGAGACAGACAGACCCCAAACAAGATAAAGATTTATTTATTTATTTATTAGAGAGAGGGAGGAGGAGGAGGGGCTGAGGGAGAGAGAGCATCTCAAGCAGACTCCCCGCTGAGCAGGGAGCCCAATACAATGGGGGGGTTCTTCTCAGGGCTCGATCCCACGACCCTGAGATCAGGGCCTGACCCGAGATCAAGAGTCAGACGCTCAACTGACTGAGCCACCCAGGCGCCCTGATGCCAAGCAAGATAAATAAGCAAGATACGGAGTATATAGGCTGGTGAGAGGTGTTAAGGAGAACAATGAAGCCAGGAAGGGGGGTGGAAGTGGCTGGTGTGGGGAGAGCATTACATTTGAAATAAGAAATAAGGTGGGCACGGAAGGCCTTGCCTAGATGGTGACACCCTAGCAAAGCCCTGGAGGGGAGGGAGTGAGGCTGCAGGCCCCGCAGGCCCCGGGGAGGAACAGTCTGGCGGAGGGGACAGAGGAGTGAGGCAGGAGGAGAGGGAGGGAGGAGGGAAAGAGTCTGGGGGCAGGACGGGGGTTGTCCTGAGCACTCTCCCTAGCTCTGGAGCCGCCTGGCGGGGCCCCTGGAGGGCAGGAGAAGGTGGTAAGCAGGTGGGCATCAGCCAGCATGCTGGAGAGAGGACCAGAAGGAGGCAGGAGGAGGGGGCCAGGGAGCTCCGGGGACTGTTGGGAGAGGCCTCCCTCTTGGGAGGCGGGGGGGACCATGGCTCTAAGAGCGGTTGAGGCCCAAAGAGGGGCCTTCAGTCATTTAAGTAATGACAGTCCCTCCTTTTCCCGAGTGGGCAAAGCTGGCCTCTCTGCCTGCATACTCATGTTTCTCCCCACACCTCCCTGCAATGCAAAGGGCAGCCGTTGCCATCCATGTAGTATAGAGGTGAAACTCAAGGCTGAAGCAAGGTGTCCAGAGCCACTCAGTTACTTGATGACGGAGCCTGGTCTAAAAACCACACTCTCAAGAGTCCTGCGCAGGATGGCTCTGATGGCTCAGGGGTGAGAGCACAACGGCAGCCGGGGCGGCACGTGCCACCCTTGTCACCATTTATCCTGGTGACACCATCCCCCTTCCTGCTCCCTGCAGAGTCTGTGACTGCTCACCTCCATCTTTGCTCATGCTCTTCCCCGTGGCTGGGATACTCTCTCCTTAGGTCTGGGGTAGCTGAACCACCACTGACACTTCCAGACCCACTCCACCCCTCTGCCCTCAGTTTCCTCCTGCCCTCCCAGCCCACCCTGCCCACAGGCCTGTGGACAATCCCATGCCTTGGGCAGGCAAGGTAGGGAGGCAGGGGGTGGTGGCCCCACGGTGCAGAAGCAGGAAGGCCCGAGTCTCTCACAGGGTCATCAGGGCTGACTCCAGTCCATGCGACCCTGGGAAGTGGTGATTGGGTGCAGCCAGGCTTCCTTTTACTGAAGAAGCCAGAAATCTGAACTTCTGCATGAAATCGCAACATCTTGAAATACGGCAAAGTCAACTTATTTAGGTTTTGGTTTTGATTTGGTTTTTGCCACAAAAAAATTGGGTAAACACTCAGAATTGTTCCTCTCCACAGAATTCTTTTTTTTTTCCCCTAAGATTTTATTTATTTGAGAGAGCGAGAGACAGAGAGAGCAGGAGCAGGGGCCGGGGCAGAGGGAAAGGGAGAAGAAGACTCTCCACTGAGCAGGGAGCCTGATGCAGGGCTCGATCCCAGGACCCTGAGATCATGACCTGAGCTGAAGGCAGATGCTCAACCAACTGAGCCACCCAGGTGCCCATGGTCAAACTGTCTTTAAATACTCTTGAGCCAAACCCAGCTAATGTTCAGAGCTTCTAGCCCATGCGGTGTCTCTGAAATGGTAAATCACAGATTTTTTCATTCCCTTAGTGATAGCTTAAATGGCACCCCCTCCAGGAAGCCCTCCCTGGTTTCCCCAGCCTTAAGTAAGGGCTCACTGTGCTGAGATCCTGTGCAGGACTCGCACAGCTCCTGGGGTGTCTTTCACATTATGGACCTTGTGAGTGCACCCCTTGGAGGTTAAGACTCAGCTCGTTCAGCCAGTCAGGCAGTATTAATGTCTTGCTTCCTGAGGGGGCCACCTCAATGCACAACTGCAAAGTGGGCTTAATGGAATTGCCTAGACTGTGGGGTTACTATGAGACTGTAGTGAGTGGTATACAGTAAGTGCTCAATAAATGCTATTATCATCTCTCCTCCACTCAGTCCCTACAGCTACGGCTCATGAAATATAAGTCACTGGAGGGCAGGGACCACACTCTCCTGTTCACCAGTGTATCCCCAGTGGCTGGGACTTCATAGGTGCTCAATAAATGCTTGGCAAGAGTGAACGGGTTCCTGCATGAGAGGAGGGCCTCCCTGCCTCCCCCGGAGTAACTACAACAGGGTCCTGGAGCCTCCAGGACTCCCGGTGCAGCCTCCACACTACCCCTAGGGAGATCTCTCTAAAACAATCACCGACCCTGACTTGCCCCTGGCAACTCCCCAGCCCCACCTCAGGGGCTCCCACTGCCCACAGGATAAGGGTCCAGGTCCACAGCTCAAGTTTGAGGCCCTTCAGGGTCTGGGGCCCAAGGGCCTCTGCAGCTGCTTCCCCTCTGGCTGCTCCCCACCTTTACTCACCAGGGCCCTCTACCCGCCCATCCCCTCCCTCAGCTGCCTGGCCAACCCAAGTCATCTTTCAAGATTGACATCAAGGATCACCTCCTCTCGGGATCCTTCTTGGATACCCTCCCTGCCCTCTGGGCTCTAAGGATTTCTGTCCTCTAACACTTGATGTCAAAACCCTGACCTCCAGAGGGACGTCCAAGTGTCTGCCCCCTCTGAGGGGTAACTTCCAACATTATATACGTGGAGGCTCGGTTTTCTCCCCTGTCAAATGGAGCTAATTCCCACTTTGCCATTCTGCTGTGAGTTAATAATGTGACTGGCACATGCGAAGTGCTCGATAAATTACTTTCCCATCTGATTTCTTTTGGTTGTTATTTGGCAATCACGCTGACTAGGGGGTGACGGAGATGGGGCAAAGTCCCTCGCCCTCTAGTCAGCATGACTGCCAAATAACCAAAAGGAATCAGATGACAGGGAAGGTTTCAGTGGAGGCCCAGGAGAGATGGATATGGTGACGGGAAGGAGGAAAAAAAAAACCAGATTCAGAAATTTGCAGACAGGCAAACATGGCAGTAGGGCCAAAAAAGTTCTGTAACAGATTATTTCAAGGGCCATTGGGAGCACCTGTGGGGAGGGGGATTGGGTCCTATGTAATTTGGCCAGGACTGGCTCAGGACCTATGGTGAGACGGGCCCTGTGCCAGGGGCAGAAACAGCAATTACTGACACAACTTCTCACTCAGAAGGCTCATGGTCTGGTAGTGGGGACAGATGTCACTAGGTTACAATGTGTTCAGTGGTTACAAGAAGGAAACACAAAGTGTCATTAGGCCCATGTTGAGGGGGAGGGAGGCTGGAGGAGGGGTCAGGGAAGGCTTCTCTGAGGAGGTGGCTCACAGAGACAGAGCAAGAAAGGTGTGAGCAGCCTGGGAACATCTAAAGGGTGCCTCCAACATCTGGAAGATGTCAGCTCTGGGGGCTCCAAGCCTCTGAGGTCCAGGGGACTTTGGAGAGGAAGAAAGCCTTGGCTTCCCTGGCATGGAACCTTCTCCTCCACAGCTCCCAGCCCCGGTGGGCAGCTCCAGCGGGCCTGCCCACCTGTCCCCCTGGGGAGGGCTCAGCCGCCCCAAAACACATTCTACCGGGACAGTCTTTCCTCTACTGAGCTGAGAGGCCTTGCTCCCTCTGCTAGCATCGGGGAAGTTCACTGCAGTCACCCAGGAACAGGAAAGCAAGCGTCTGCTGTGCTTTGGTTCCACAGAGTTAGATCCTCCCCTGACAGCCCTTTCCTTATACACCTGCCTTCTGTGGGACACTCTGCTGCTCGTAGCCACGATTTTTATTTGAGAGAGCCAGCGAGAGAACGAGAACGAGCAGCGGGTAAGGGCAGAGGGAGAGGGGGGAACAGACTCCCTGGGGCTCAATCCCAGGACTCTGCAGATCACGACCCGAGACGCCCAGGTGCCCTGCACAATCCTCAGTTCTTACTCGGGCACATGATTCTCCAGAATGAACCACAGGACCCAGCCTTCCCTACAGCCAGGGGGCTCCCTCTTCCTCCTTCCTCTTGCCTCTGCCTTCTGCCCAACCCAAGGCACAGAACAAGTGTCAAGTGTTCTTAAAAGGAGGGAGGGACATGTTCTTCAACCTTTCCTCCTTCCTGCCGGCTGAAAGGCAAGTATGATGGCTGAAGCTCAAGCAGCCATCTTGGACCATGAGGTGGAAGCCATGTGTTGAAAATGGCACAAAACAGGGCGCCTGGGTGGCTCAGATGGTTAAGCATCTGCCTTCGGCTCAGGTCATGATCCCAGGGTCCTGGGATCGAGTCCCCCATCAGGCTCCCTGCTCGGCGGGGGGGCCTGCTTCTTCCTCTCCCTCTGCAGCTCCCCCTGCTTGTGCTCTTTTGCTCTGTCAAATAAATAAAATCTTTAAGAAAAAAAAAAAAAGAAAGAAAGAAAATGGCACAAAACAAAAAGCTAAAAGCCTGCCATCCCAGCCCCCCAGCCCCCCTGGCTCCAGGCTAGTTATCTCCCTGTTACCTCCTCTTATACAAGCCAGTTGTTTTTAAATTTTGTTTTCTATTATACGCAGCTAAACCTAATCCTTCCTTATAAAGCTCCTAGAAGCCCCAAGCCCAGGAGGCCCACCAGATGGAGAGTGGCAAGGAAAGAATCCAGGCGTGGAGCATGGAGAGAGGGGCTCTGGGGAGAAAAGGCAAGTTCTCCAGAGGGTTCTGATTCCATCACTTCTGATCCCAAGATGGGCAAAATCGCTGACTCAATCTCCTTGGTTTACTGTAAGGACTGATGGCGCACACGGAAGAGAGAAGATGAGAATACTTGTAAATATCACCATGTGTAGCTCTAAATGGTAAACGACCCCCCCACGGCACTGGGGACAGGAGAAGAGACGTGCCTGCCCAATGGCAGCCCTCCGCGGGCTGAGCAGAAGGAAGACCTGCTTGGGGGGTCAGCTCCCCCTCCTGCCAGGCCCTCCCACACCCCGGGGCCTGATGGCACTTGTGGCTGCTTCTGGCACTGCACTCTCCTGTCACCCTGTCCATCTCTCACTGGGCCTGAGCTGGGTGGGGAATGCTCTGGAACTCATCCGCTTCCACCACTTCAGTTTCAGCTGAGGAGACCAATGAGGCCAAGAAGTTTCAGCCAGTAAAGGGCGGAGTCCGGCGCCGCTCACCCCCCTGGCCCAGCAGCCTGCTTTTCAGAGCAGCTGGCTGACTCTGGATTCTTCCAGTGTTATGCTTGCCTGCAGCCCGGGTTAGGGGGCCCAGACCTAACACTACCTGTCTCACCCCCACAGGGCAAACTGTTGGACAGGGAAGATGGACCCACCTGCCTGACGGTTTCCACCACCTCAGAAGCCTGCCCTTGGCACGTGGTATCAGGGTCAGGGACAAACAGACCACAAGTGTACTCAGTTTCACAAATCTGATGAAGGCTCAGTGGGGGAGACATTTGGGAAGATGCCCCAGGTTCGGCTCTGAAGGCTCCTCCTGGGGGGAGTCACCTCTCAGCTGTCTGCCCCTGCCAGGGAGCAAGCTCGGGCCAGAGGTGCTGGCCTCCCTGCCGTGGGCCGCAGAGTCACCCCACCTCGGTGTTGCGTTACCGGGCCAGCCAGGCGGACACAGCACAGGACTGGGCACGGCCTGGTTCTCGGGGCTCACTCTACGCTGTGCCGGGCTTTGCCCGTCAGCCGGCGGCGCTGGGTCTTGCTGGTACGAGTGGCACTCGGGGGCTTCTTGGTGGAGTCTTGGGCCTGTCGGGGACGTTTCCTCTTGGTCTTTTTGCGACTGTGTGCGTGCAGTGACGCCGTGAGAGCGGAGATCCTGTAGGAGGTGGAAGGCTGGTGAGGCTGGGGCCGCATTTACTGTGGGGAGCAGGGCCTGGGTGGAAAGCTGGGTTCAGGGGTGAGTGGCTGCCTGGCTCACAGAGGAAGTCGGTACAGGCCTCGAATGCTGGGAGTACCAAATCCATGCCAAAGGCAGCCTGCTCTGACCCCAGAAGGCCCGCGAGTTCCTCTGCTCATAAAAAGGCCCTTACCCCGGGGCACTAAGGGCGCCCAGGCCTGGCCACTGTCGGGGATTGGGGGTGGGGAACAGGGAGGAGGGGACACTCGATGGGCAGAGCAGAGTGGCTGCTCCAGGCCCCACACCTGCCCCATGCCACCCGCCACAGGCCGGAGAGAGGCGGCTCCAGAGGCCCCGTCACCACTGCCAGCCACGAGGGAGCAGTATCCTAGGGGAGGACAGACCAGGGCTCACCGCTGGGACAGGAGGGGGCCTCTGGACTTCCTGGGTAAGGCTCTGGTCGGCTTCTCCACAGAGGACGCCTCTTCCTCGGACCCGTGCCCAGCCCCCTGCCAAAGCAGCACACACAGGACAAAGATGGCACCCGGAGTGGTAGAGCGCGAGGCCTGACACCAGCTGTCACGGCTCGGTCAGGGAGGGGCACGGCCTGCGGCCTCGAGGCCTGGCTCAGGGCTCGGAGAAGGCCACGGGTGGACAAGCCATGGAGCCCCCTGACGCGGAGATCACACAGGGAAGAGCTGCGTCTCACAGCCTTGTCCCCCTTTTCTTCCAGCCGTGAGCGTCTGCACGTCCACTGCACGCTGAGGCTGGGAGGGCTTACAGAAGAGTGAGCAGGAGACAGAAGAGGAGGATGAGCTCGGTAAGGGTGCCACAGAGCGCTGGCTCGGGGCGCAGGGACGCCTTCACCAGTGACAGGAAACGTGCTGTGCCTTGTGACTGTGGACCCACAGGTACTGAAATGCCCACCCCACCCAGACGGACGCAACTCTGATGGAAACAAACATTTCGGGAGATGGTACCTCACTGGGAGGCTCTGTGATACTTCCAATGACATTCTGTTCTATTTCTTTCCTCTAAATTTAAAAAAGATTTTTAATCTGGAGGGTTTTTTGGTTTGGTTTTTGTTTTTTTTGAGAGCTTATCAGGCAGTTCTGCCTGCGTAACGTTTCCCCATCACTTCCAAAGCCTCTCCCTCGCTCATATTCCCCAGCAGGTAGTCGCCCCACCGAGGAGGAACACTGCATCACACCAACTGAAGCAAAACAACACAACATGCTGCTGCTTCACCCAAAAGCAGGGCTTTCCTCTGCCCTTTCCGGAAGGCTCCGTGGCTCCCGAGTCAGGGCCCATGGAGTGCTTTTAAAATTTAGGGGGATTCCCCCTTTTTTTTAAATGTCAGTTGCAATCTGTGAGCACCTCCCCACTCATAGCTTGCAAACTCAGTGTTAGTGCGCACGGCCGGGCCACGTTTTTGCTATTCCCACGCACTGCAGTGATCACCATACCCCGCTGTCTTCGGTGTTTCTCTTGGATGAACCGCTTTTACACGCACAGTAATCCCCTGAGACAGGTGCCATCAGCAGTGACCCCCACAACTTACTAGCGAAGACACTTGCCCACGTTCCCACAGCCGCTGAGTCATGGAACTGGATTCTGCAAGCCCCAGGGTCAGGGATTTTGTCCAGGCCCAGAAGAGCGCCCAGGAGGGAAAGAGCCCCTCGCGCTGCAATCCCCATAAAGGGAACAGCACTCGGCACCCCCGACAAGCCAGCCTGCACCTGGGGCCCGTCTTCTCTAGGGCTGGAAGTTACACCCACCTCAGGTGGAGACAGTCCCAGCAGCCGGGCCCCTGAGAGGTCCAGGTCACTGATGGTGGTCACGGTGACTGTGTGGTTGGGGTGGTCATACTGCACCGACTCTGTCTTTGCCGTCACCAGCCTGTCCAGTTCATCTGCCTCCTCTGTGCAAGGTGGGCACAGAACCGGCTCTCAGCCTCAGAGCACAAGTAGCCAGACTCTCACCCCCTGCCCAGCCCTAGAGTGCAACGGCCCCCTCTACGCTATGGGAGAGTGTCCAGGAAGTCACCGCCTCCAGAGCCCAGCCTGCAGACACATGTAAGCGATTCAACTCCTCCCTTGATTCTCCGGAGAGACCTCAGACCATCTGGTTCTCATCTAGGACAAACCTCGTGTGACCCCAGCAGCTCCTGCTGCCCACGTCCCCCCCCCTCCGCCCCCAAGTCCTCCAGGCCTCAGGAACTGGGCGTTCTGCTCAGGATTGCTTCACCAAGAGGTTGGTTCTTCCTGTGTCTGATCCACTCACATTTAGAGGTTGCTGAAGACCGTCCCTGGCCCTTACATCACCACCAAGACCCCTAGAGCTAGGGAAGTTAGCTTCTGTGCAGCCCCCACACCTCTCCCCTTCCACCCACCAAGGGATAAATAACCTAGGCCTGTTGGCTATTCTCCAGGTCAGGGCAAAGATGGGACTTACCCAGAGCCTCCTCTCTCTCTGCCAGCATCTTCAAGTATTCCTGATGGCGCTGAAACCAAAAGGGAAGGGAACACAGTGAGTGTGGCCTCTCCAGCCAACCCCAGGCGGAGCATTGTTCATCTCCAGGGTGAGTGAGACCATGAATGACTCCTAGTGAAACACCAGGAGATTCCACCCTAAGCCTTCCTCAGACCAGGGCCCACCATGATTCTACCGGTACAAACTGCTCCCCAGGCCTGCCCACACCTTCCGTTATTCCTGCAGATGCTCGTATTAAGGCCATCCAAGGATGTAAATACCGCGGGAATCAGATTTTATATACACACACACACTCTCTCTCTCTCCTTCTCCCTCTCTCCCTACCCCCCTTCCCTCACCCATCTCCCCCTTTACACCTCCTCCCGGAGCTTCTTTTGCTCCTCCTTGAGCCGATGCTTGATCTCCTCAATGGCTGCCTTCTTCCGCTCTATCTTCCTCTTATGGAAGCCAGTCAGGTACTCCCTATAGGAAAGAGGCAAGGGAGAATCGGGAGGAGACACAAGGAAAGAAAGGCTCACACCGGGAAGAGAAAAACCACTAATACTGTACTATTACAAAAATGTACACATGGGCACCTGGGTGGCTCAGTCAGTTAAGCACCTGCCTTTGGCTCAGGTCATGATCCCCAGGGTCCTGGGGTTGAGTCCCGCATCGGGCTCCCTGCTCAGCGGGGAATCTGCTTCTCCCTCTCCCTCTGCTCCTCCTCACCCCCGCCTCCGCTGCTTATGTGTGCTCGCTCTCTCTCAAATTAAAAAAAAAAAAATCTTAAAAAAAATGTACATGTGTCACCTCACGTATTCCTCACACCAACCTGTGTGGTAGGTACCAATCCCTGTTTTACAGATGGGGACACTGAAGCACAGAGAGGCTAGGCTACTTGCCAAAGGTCATAGAGAGTGTAAGGTCAGGAGAAAGAGGGAGATGCTGCTTCTTTCCACCCACCCACCCCCTCCAGGGCTCTCAGCCTCAAGCAACAGGGCCATGTAGGTGGGCCTATGCACCCTAGGACAGGCAGGGGGCCCTTTTTATGTCGCCAGATTCCATGACCCAGTGAATTAAACCACTCCTAGCAGGGCTTTCAAGGCCACCCTCACCCAGATATCCACAAACTTTCCACTGGACTGGCACCCCATATCCCCAGGACAGCCGCCCCCAGACCCATCAGTAAGCCCCTTCCATGCCACCCTGCATTCCCCTCCCCTATCTGATCTGGGCTGCTTCTCATCTCTCTAGTGCTGGCTGCACCATTCCCAAACGTTCCCGGGGCCCAACACTAGGCTTTTCGCTGACCCACTACCATATGGCAAAGCAGCGCTCTGAGCGAGGGACATCTGATGGACCGGACGCTGAGGCTTAGGGGTCCAGCTCAGGGGTCCCGAGATCTGGCACCCACACACCGAAGGAGCTCAGGACACGTCTGATGAGGGCATAAATGAACTTAAGCAACGCTCATCTCATTCACTCCTCATTCATCAACAACACTGAGTGCACCACGTGCGGGGCCGCTGGGCTTGGCCCCGGAGGTCGAAGCCTCAGCTCCGGGGGGGCCCCCCGCCCCCCGGGCCCCACCCCCACCCCTACCCCCACCCCTCTGGCCGCCCGCACACCAGGAGCCGGGTCAGCTGGGGCGCAGACCTAGCGACGGGAGGGCGGGGCGGGCGATTCCATTCCCCAGGCGGGGGGGCCTACCGCGGCCGCTTCCATTCCGCAGGGGAGGGGGATGTCGAAGGGGAGCCTCGGGCCACGCCGAGAGGGCGGGGCCGGAAGGGACCTCTGCGTGAGCGACAGCCGCCGGGCCTCGGCCCCAGCTGTGGAGGCCTGAAGGATATCAGCTCCAGCCTTGGCACTCACCGCCGCTTCTCTTCGTCGAAACTGAGAACAAGCCGCGGCCGCCGGTCGTCGCCATCTCGCTTCTTCTTGTTACGGCCCATAGCGGTGAGGCCTCCGGCGGCGCGCCTCCAGCTTGCCTAAGACACTTCCGGGTGTATCGTTTCTTAGCCTCTCGGGCGCGCCTCGCGCTTAAGACTCCTCAGTTCCGTTGCTCAGGCCCCGCCTTTTAAAGGGGCCATGGAGCCCGCCTCCCCAGCCCTGCCTTCTGTGTGTAATACTCAGATACTTGCCCCTCCGGTGATTCCTTTTTTTTTTTTTTTTAAGATTTTATTTATTTATTTGAGAGAGAGAGAGAATGAGAGATAGAGAGCACGAGAGGGAAGAGGGTCAGAGGGAGAAGCAGACTCCCTGCTGAGCAGGGAGCCGGATGTGGGACTCGATTCCGGGACTCCAGGATCATGACCTGAGCCAAAGGCAAGTCGCTTAACCAACTGAGCCACCCAGGCGCCCCCTCCGGTGATTCCTAATCCCAATCCCTGTCCTAGACTAGCAGCGGTGAAAGAGAGGTCCCAGAGTTTATTTAGCACGGTGCCTGGGAACGCAGTAGCCGCTCAATACGGAGTTATTAGTAAATGGCCAAATATTGCTGATCCTACTTTTGATTCTGATGTCAACTCGTCAGTGGTCTCCAAGAACACATTTCTGGCGCCACACTCCGTGGATTAGAATCCTGATACCCCCAATTACAGCTGTGGTTCTGGACCGATTGCCTTCGCTTGGCTGCAATTACCCTATTTGTAAAATGGGGATAATTATAGTGACTTCGTAGGGTTGTGCAAGGCAGTGGTTTTCAGACTTTGGCGTTTATCAGAATCCTCTGGGGGGCTTGCTGAAACCAAATCTCTTGGCCCCACCCTAGAGTTTCTGAGTCAGCGGGTCTGGAGGGAGCCCCATAATCTGCAATTCTAACAAGTTCTATCCTGCTGGTCCACGGACCACACTTTGAGAACCATGATGATTAGGAAAAGTGAGTTAGGTGACATTGCGTGTAAGTAATATACGCCACACTTGTGTTTGCTACACAAGCCATCTCCCCTCTCTGTGTCTCCGCTTCCCCAGGTGTGGCATGGGGGTGTGATAATAACACATCCTTTACTGAAGACGGCGGGCATGTGAAGGCATTCTGTGAAACACCGCCTAAAGGGGAATTTTAGTAACTGGGATGGGATGCCCGAATCCCCCACTCCCAGTTCATCCCTGCTGGGGCGCTGCACACAAGCTGCCGCCCTTGCTTTGAAGGCCTGGCCAGTCTGGCGGGGCTGGTGGTCGTTACCGTGTGGGGGATGGTACCTGTGCTGCAGGAGCTCCGTGCTGGCTTCTCCAGTGCAGAGGGCTTCCCAGAGGAGGTGACCCCAGAACTGGCTGAGAGTGGGGCTATCAGAGGAATAACAGACCCTTAAGACCCGCCTCCCCCTCCATTTCTCCTTGGACAAGTGATTGGAGCCCAGAGAGCAAGTCAGCCCACGTGTACTGAGTGCCTCCTGTGTGCCAGGCACCCAGAGAGGGGACCTACCTGTTCTCTGAGAGAGTGGAGGCAAGTTGTCCAGGGTTACAGGGCTATTCTGTCTCCCTCTGTGCTGAGGAATGTTCTCAGGGTCTCCTGTGGATTATTCCAGTGGATCCTCACAACGGCCCTGTGAGGTTGGTGCTCGCTCCTTCCTTCCGTCCCTTCTTTCCTCTCTCTCTTTCTATTTTTTTAAAGATTTTTATTTTTTTATTTGAGAAAGAGGGAGCTTGCAGGCATGAGCCAGGGGCGGGGCAGGGGGAGAGGAGGAAGCAGGCTCCCCGCTGAGCAGGGAGCCCATCAGGACCCTGGGATCATGACGTGAGCCAGCTGAAGGCAGAGGCTTAACTGACTGAGCTACCCAGGCACCCCTCTTTCTTTCTTTTTAAAGATTTTATTTTTAAGGTTATCGCTACACCCACTGTGGGGCTCGAACTTAAAACTCCGAGATCAAGAGTCGCAGGCTGCACCGAGCCAGCCAGGTGCCCCCAGCTTTCATCCCTATTATACAGATGAGGAAAGGGAGGCTCAGACAGGGAAGTTGTCCCGTGAGGAAGTGGTGTATGGAGCCATTCCCTGACTGCTGCCCTCGCTGATCTTCCAGGCTGACACAGAGACAGGGACCAAGTAAGGGCACAGCTGCGCCTGCAGGACCTTGTGCGGGGAGCTTTGGGCGGTTGGCCCATCCAACCCTCGCTGCCTGCCTGCCCCCCCGGGGGGGGACCTCAGGGAGCCTCATGTGCCAAAGCCCCCAGTGCAGGGAGAAGCCCACCTGCCAGGAGACGAGCCGAGGGACTGGGACCCCACCCAGACTCTGAAACTTCACTGCAGCTCATGGTCTGAAACACCCACCACTCTTTGGGGGCGCCTGGGTGCCTCAGTCCGTCAAGTGTCTGACTCCTGGTTTTGGCTCAGGTCATGATCTCAGGGTCATGAGATGGAGCCGCAGTTGAGCCCTGGATCAGGTCCCTGCACAGGGGGGAGTCTGCTTCTCTCCCTTTCCCTCTGCCCCTCCCCCCACTTGTGTGTGCTTTAAAATAAATTAATAAATCTTAAAAAAAAAATAACACACCCACCACTCTTTGGATTGGTTTCACCTTGAAATCATTTTTATGTTTATTGAGCACCTACTTGATGTGAGAAACAAAGGCAGAAGAAAAAATTACTAAATTTCCTCACTACCTACAGCCCATTGACAAGTCTTTGAAACGGGCAGAGTGATATTCCTCTAGGAACTCCACTTCTTGATGTTAATTCTCTGCTAAGGGCAAAAGGCAATCCTAGCCTGACCCCACCCTACCCCCATCCCGTAAGTCTACTTTAACATATAAGAATTCCTTTAGAAATTTCCTTTATCTCTAAACCCCCAAGACAGGTGTTGGCAATCATCGCTCAAGCACGTGGCCCACTAATATACATCTGAAGGGTCTCATGACTAAGGTTTTACTAGACAGTAAAATGACGTTTTCCTAACAATAGCTAGCCCCCTCAGGGTCCTGGAAGCCTTACTTCCAAAATTCCTTAGAGACTTACACTATCCCTAACCCCCTCCCAACTTGAAAGTATATAACGGGCCACTCCGCACGCCCTCTCTTCTTTCTGCTCATACTTTAATAAAACCTGTCCCCGTGCTTTAAGAAAACCACCTTTTTGTTTGCACCAAAGAAGTCTCAAGAATGCATTCTTGGTTGTAGGTTGCGAATCCTGATGTCTTTCCTACATCACTACTGTGTGCCCGGAACCAGGCATTTCTCTACATTATCTCACCTAATCCTGGCAACAACCCCACAGGGTAGATAATGAGTTTTAATTGGATGATGAGGCAACTGAGGTTCAGAGAGATCTAGTAACTGGACCAGGGGCACACAGTGATGGGGCTGGGGTTTGAACACGGGTTTGACTCCGAGCCCAGTTTCCTTCCTGCAGACCCAGTGGTCTCATTCCCCATCTGCCCCAGAACTTTTCTCTGCCCCATCGTAGTTCCTCCCAGTCCTGGGGTATTGTGGGTGTGCAGCCGGTCTAGCAAGAATCGGGAGCTGAACGGAGAGGACCAGAGAAAGGCAGTCCAAGAGACACTTTCTCCGATGTCCAGCAGAGGGCGTCCCGGCACAGCCAGACTTCCAAAGCTGTTTCTCTCTGGGCTGCCGCTTGGGTGCCCCAGGAGAGCCTGGAGATTGGGTGTGGCTCGTGGCAGACCCCCCCCAGCATGTTCACTCCATCCTCCTGGGCCCTCGTGTAGAGATGTGCTCCCCAGGGGACTCAGTGCGATGGGAATCATCCACCCAAAAGGGCCCAGGTGCAAATAATGGCCCCCATTTTACGGATGAGGACATTAAGGTTGGGGGATGGGAGAGCGCCACCCTGGGTCCCACACTAGTGCTGCCTCGCCTGGAGAGTGAAATTGAGTAGGCTCCCACCCCCCCACACACACCTCAGAAGACAGTGCCCTAGGGCTTGGGGAGAGCCCGTTGAGGTGCTGATTCTAAGTCATCCTGAACACTGGCTCAGTTCTAGGGGCTGCTTCCCAGGGAGGTAGGGGCCCTGGAGCAGGGAGCAGGAAGCAAAAGGTGCTGGGGAATGGTCAGTCTGCGGGTTTGCCAGGCCATCAGCTCAGGTCCCATCACTTATGACAAGTGAGTATGATGGGCTGGGTTAAATAAACACTGCCCTCTGGGGCGCCTGAGTGGCTCTGCCTTCGGCTCAGGTCATGATCCTGGGATCGAGCCCCACGTCGGGGTCCTTGCTCTGTGGGGAGCCTGCTTCTCCCTCTCCCTCTGCTTGTGTTCCCTCTCTGTCAAATATATAAATAAATAAAATCTTTTAAAAAACTAAAAAGTAAAATAAATAAACATTGCCCTCTGAAGGAGTAGAGCCTGGTGGGTCTTGGAAGGCATGTCCTCTTTGGAAACCAACAGAGAAGGGGCTCATAGAGACCTCATCTCAGGCCAACTGAGTTTCCCCAAACTCCTCTGCTCTGCAGGGAAGAGGCTGTGTGCAGCAGGCCTCTGGGAGCTGGGAGGCTGCCTACCTCTACTCAGTTCCCTGCAGGGTGGGGGGCTGGCATGTCCCCCCAACACCCCACGGCCCAGTTCCTCCTATACAGAACCAGGCCAGCAGAGGCGTCTGGCTGGCTTAGTCCATAGAGCATGTGACTCTTGATCTTGGGGTCATGAATTCAAGCCCCAAGTTGGGTGTAGCGATTATAAACAGACAGACAAACTTAGGGAGAAAAAGGGAAAAGAACCGGGACAGCAGTTGTTGTCCTCAGCCAGGACCATTGCCTGAGCCCCTCTCCCCAGTGTTGGGTTGAGGGTCCTGCCCAGGGTCACAGAACCAGCAGCTTCCAGACTAGAGTCCTTGGTTGCCCTTACGCACCAGCACAGGTGGTATGTGGCCTGGGGCCACAAAGCTGGGCTGCCTGGGCAGCTCCACAGAGCTCAGCAGGGCTGGTGCAGACCAAGGAGTCATGCCATCCTACGGAACGGTCTTCCTTTCCTTCAAACGGATGACGATGGAGCGGAAGGCTACCTGAAGCCAAAGCACAAGCTGACACCCTGCAACTTCCCTCCCACCCCCACTCCTGGGTGGGACATGTGTGACATTCCTCCA